AAAATAAATTAATTCGGGAAGTATACAATACGACGGGAATACAAGGCTCGGATACAGAATAAATTAACAGAAACCCAACAATTTATGACACTAAATCAACGATACGATAATCCAGCAATTTACCAAATTGCACAACAAATCAACCATAATTTATCTAGGACCAAATACCCGGTCCTACTCAGTACATGACCAGTGAATAAATTCATTTATTCACCCACCTCACCCAAGCTCCACGCTTATCCGGGCATATTGGTGTAAACAATTAATAAGATTCACTCGATCCATGTACGGAGTATTTCCATGTCATTCAGTCAGACAAATCACTATTTAACACAGAAATATTTGTAGAGAATTTTACCAAACGATCAGAATATCAACGATTCAACAACGAACGATTTTACGAAATCTATTAATAACCACATTAATCAAGTGGATTACAAATTGAGGATGATTAAAAATATAGAACTCTTTGCAAAGAGATTTAAATAGAGCATATTGTATACAACCCGAATTTACCTCAAAATGATTAATTCCATCACCATAAATCTGAAATTGCTCCATGGATCTCCAAAAATAGTTTTGATCAAACTTCTAAAACATAAAGTATGTATGATTTAATAAAATCTACAATTCTCAATTTATTTATTTATTTTATAAAATACTCATTTTCACTCTAAGCACTCCCATATCTAAACTTAATATTTCTACTCTATATAATTTATGAGAAGGGGAGAACTGAATGAAGAAATGGTTGTGAGGAGCTCCCACACTCGGCTGATTTATAGAGGAAATGAAGGAATGAAAGAAGATTAAAAAAATTTAAAAGAAATGAAAAGGTTAAATGATGGAATTGGTGGGTTTTGGTGGCAAGTCAGGGAAGTGAGGAAACTGTAGGTAAAGCCCACGGTTTTGTCTTCTTTCTATTTGTATTTTTTTTTTTCCACATTCTTCTCACATGATGGGGGAATGGTAAATTGATTTATTAAATAACAATATGATAGATACAAAGGAGATGAGATAAATACAAATAAATAATTTTAAATTAAATTTTTATCTAAAAATTCTCACCACTAAATTAAAATAATAAATCACCAATACCACTTACTAAATATTAATACCTCAAAATACAGGGTGTTACATTACAGGCGGTGAAAACTGTAAAATTTTGCAGTTTTAAATTTTTTTTGGTGCTGGAATGAATCATGGTTTAAAACTGTAAAATTTTGCAGTTTTAAATTTTTTTGGTGCTGGAATGAATCATGGTATAAAACTGTAAAATTTTGCAGTTTTATAACATTCTTTAGAACTGTAAAATTTTACAGTTTCATACATGTTTTCCAGTTTGATTAATAAGGATAAATGCTTAATAGATTTTTGCTTTGAAACTGTAACACTTTACAATTTCAAAACTTACTTTTCAGTTTGATTAATATTGGAGATTATTTGCTTGAACCTTACAAAAATTGAAAAATAGCATATGTTTTTCCCATTGTTACTATTTTTTGTCGTTTCATTTTTTTTCCTTTTACTTTATCAATATTTAGCACGTTTTGCTATGTTTTTTTTGCTCTAATTTCTCCATTTATTCTTTTTTTTTGGGTAAATATTCTAGACATTGCGGTGAGTCTCCAGTGATGTTCCTAACGTCCAGTGAACATTCTAAACATTCCGGCGACGTCCATTAACGTTCTTAATACTCCGGTGAACTTCCGGGGAAGCTCCGGCGACTTCCCAGTGATACTCCGGCGACTTCCCGGCGATGTTGAACATTCCGACGAGTCTTCGGCGACCGTTTGACGAAAGTCCGACGGTAGTAAGATGTAACAGTGTCTATAAATTTTGTTTAAAAAAAAATAGGATTTTTTTGGTAACAAGTAAAAATATATAGGACTAATTGGTGCAAGTGTTTTGTTTGAGGATTAGCTGGGTCTTGAACTTCGTACATGGGACTTATCAGTAAGTTCCCCTTAATTTAATCTCCCTTCCAAAAGAGCCAAACAAATATGGCTTAAAGTTCTGTTTGTTTTCAGAAGTAGGATAGAGAGAATTATTAGTGATGAGATTATTAATATAAAAATTGTTAGTGAAAGGATTAAGTAAAATTGTATTTGTTTTAATAATAGTTGTTAGTGGGAGATTGTTAAATTATTTTTATATAAAATATAAAATAAATAAAACGATCATGCTACGTAGCTCGAATGTCGCGGCTCGAAATGCGGCTCGACACCAAAATGACGTCGTTTTGGTGTCGATTTTGTTTTTTTTTTTTTTTTTTCTTTCTTCCCTGGTTTTGCAGAACGAAGAAAAAGAAGAAGGGAGAAGAAGAGAGGGAGGAGGAAGAGGAGGAGGAGGGAGGGGAGGGGGCCATAAAAACCGGTTTGAGGAGGAGGGGAGGCTGGGGCGACATCGGCGGGGCTGCGACGGAGGGGCGGTGGTGCTGCGACATCGGCGGGGCTGCGACGGAGAAGGAAGCAGAGGCGGCGGCGGGAGCTACGACGACGGCGGGAGCTGCAACGACGGCGGGGCGGGGAGCTGCGACGCCGACCTTCTCCCTCTCCCTCTCTTTCTCTCCCTCTCCCTCTCCCTCTCTTCCTCTCGAGCCATTTTCGAGCCTGGTAGCTTCGAGCTACCAGGCATTTTCCTAAATAAAAATCATGGTTTTTACCCAACCAAAAAAAAAACAAAACAAATATTAATGTTCAAAATGTGACGCTGCACATGTAAAATAAAAAATAAAAAAAAATTTGCACTTGGCCAGACAACCGACCAATCAATTGGCCGAACAAGCAGTTACACTCTAATCCGAACCATCTCTTCGCTCAGACTGCTAGTCTCTTCATCCAAGGCCTTTCATTATCTACACGGACTCTCAATTCGAACCTTAATTTTGCAGACAAACATGAGATTGGTGCTGATGACCAGACTAACGGTTTAGATACACAAAATCGATACAATACATACCTATAAACCAGATCAAAAATCAAACATCCAGCAAATCAATTCTTCAATTTATAAATTGAAATCATACCTAACAAACTCCAACAGATTTCAACTCAAAAAACCTCAAATACGAATCTGTCAAACACCGAAATCAATTTATGTATAATAGCGAACCAAACCGAGAAATCCTTCGACATCCTTCGATATTCGAATCTTCATCTACTTCCCATAACTGATTTTTTTTTTTTGTTTCTAGTAGTCCTTTTTTGAAATTATGTCAAATTTTTTTATTTTTCTGATCCGTTTTGTCGAGACGAATCTAAATTTTTTTTTTCGAAAAATTCTAAAAAAAATACTAAAGACAAAAATAAGCTGAAAAAGATTGTTTACTTTAGCTTATTTTTGTCTTTTCTAATTTTTTTTGGATTTTTAAAAAATATATATATTTTCTAGTTTGTCTTGTCAAGCTGAATTTAGAAATTTAAGGAAGTGTTTGGTAGAGTTTTAGAATTATGATTTGAGAATAGAGTTGTATTTTGAGTTTGTGAGTTTTGGAATTATGATCTGAGTGTGAAAAATTTGTTTGATTATGAGTTTTGAAAAGAAGTTTAAATTGTGTTTGAATTGAGTGATGTGACATATGATATTTGATACAAAAATTTACAACTCATAATCAAACACACAACCTAAAATTCTATTCAAAATTTATAAAAAAATTTCACAAATATTTTTTTTTATAATATAAAAATAACAGATGTAAAAAAAAAAAAAAACGAATACTATTTCAGTCAACCGGCCGAATGACCTGTGGGACGGCCAATTAACCCAAATTTGCTTGCATTGGAAAGAGTTTTAAAAAATGAGTGTGGAATTAATTTTTGAAAACCTTAAACAAATACCACACTTAAAAGTAAGTATGAAACTATATTTTCAAAGCTCCACCAAATGGAGCCTAAAGCTTTTTTAAATTTTTTTTAAAAAGTTCACCAATGATGAAAATAAGCCAAAAAAAAACCAAAAAAAGCCGTTCCCAAAACACTATATGTGAGGGCTTCCCGTGCTGATACAAATATGTCTCGTATTTTTTATTTTCTCAAAATACTTCTGGTATTGATACAAATATATCTCATATTTTTTATTTTCTCAAATTATCTGTATAATAGATTCTTAAAACAAAAAATCATATAGTGAAATAAATGAGACTTGAACCCATAACTTTAGATAAAAGAAACTACATATTTAACACTTCAACAACATATAATATACAAATTTTTAAATTAAAATTAAAATATATATTTTATAAATTTAACAACACACCCATTAATGCGTATCTATATATGTGTGTGTGCCATTAGTGTGTATCTATATATGTGTGTGTGTGTGGTATTTAACATTTCCCGTCTAATAAAATGACAACATCTTCAAATTAAAATAGGTCTTGTCTCTTACTAATTCAATATTGTTATAATTTTTACTGTAAATCAAAATTACTCATTAGATGGTGACAATGAGTTGGAGTAGGGGTTGGTGGGTAGAAGGGTTGATTGGTATTAAGGGATTATTTGAAATGTTTTAAATAAGTGTATTTTTTCTCTTTTTATGAAATATGAGTTGGATTTGAAGTGATGTGGTAGAGAGGTGATGTGATTTAAATAAAATTATGTGACTTAAATAGGATAGTGACTTTTTAATTTTTTAATTTTTTTATAAGATGACAAATAAGGCCTAAGAGTGTGTGTTTGATCGTAGGATAGGAAAAAATATTTTTGTATATGCAATTGTAGAAAAAATATATAAAAAAAAAAAAAAAGAGAGGAAATTTTGGATTTCTTTTAGGGGTTTTATAAGAAGGAAATTTTTGTATTTGAAAAATATATTTGTTGAACGGTTGTTAGGTTGAGGTAAGGGGTCAATGTGATTTCATTAAATACATGAGTGGTATTTGTAATTGTTAGAAATCTTACTTGATGTTAATGGAATTATTTATTTTTTAAAAAGAAGGAAATTTAATATTAAAAAAAAAAACTTAAGATTTTTTTTTTTTTAGACAGGAAAAGCAATTACAAAGAAGAGGGAGCCTCCGAAGCCACCACCGCCATTAAGGAGGGAGGAACTTCCTCCATCCAAATGCGAGGTGATTCAAAATCAAAAGCTAATCTACTTAAACAATGAGCCACAGAATTGCCATCTCTATAAACATGCGAGACGGATGAGGAATGGAATTGCAAGAGGAGTACCTGAGCCACATCTACGAAATGACCATAACACGATAAATTTTCTGTCTTTCCTTGAATTGCAGACACCACGTTTAAAGAATCTCCTTCAAGCTGAATATTATCCAACCCCAAGTCATATCCAAATTGAAGCGCTTTAACGGCACCCAAAGCTTCCACACAATCCACATCTTCCAGATAATGAATTTGCTCAACCATAGCAGCAATAACCAACCCATTACTGTCAATTATTTATTTTTTAAAAAGAAGGAAATTTAATATAAAAATAAAAAAAAAAACTTAAGATTTGACTTCAATATTAATTAAAACCTAATTTTTAAATTATTTTAATATAAACTCTCAAATTCTAAAATTACATAAATTCTAACCATTAATTAAAGGGTAATTTAGATAATTTAATAATTTTTTTAATTTTTTTTTATTATTACAATTGATAACTACTTCTCACCCTTTATGGTCATCCATCAACATCTCTTCTTAACTCACTGACATCACTCCATCCCTTTGTTCTATCCATTGCTCTACTCATCCTCTTCTCCAAACTCCCTGTCACCCCTCTAATTCCTTCCCTAATCCATTTCCATCATCACCGAATACCACCAAATGTGATGTTTTAATCTCACCAGCAGAAATTAGTTTGAATCTATTCCCTCTCTCTCTAGGAAACCCTAGCCACTCTCTCTTTCTTTGCTATTTAGAAGGGAGAGGTCCGTTTCATCCCCCGCAATTTCTATCACAATGCTAGCCATTACCATTCATCTTATCGCTATTATCAATTTGCTACCGAGGAAACTTTTAGCTCTAGACTCAAATTTGATTCATGATCAAGATCTAATACTGTTAAATGTGTTTTTATAAGTTAGACAATCACCTCAGATTTAAAATATTTTATTTTGTAATGTAGAGGCGGAGATTAAGGTACCAAAGTTAATAGTTGAGACAATGAACGGATCATGAGGGTGATTGGTATTGTTTGTTTAGTGGTGATCGGTTTTTATTTTATTTTTCCCAATAGTATCTCTATGGAGAGGTTTTCTCCTTTCATGGAGGTTGCCTCCTCTTTGTGTGGGGGTTTGTCTTTTCTCTCTATGTGAAGAATCATATCTTCTCTACGTTGAGGCTCTTTTGATCTCTTTTGGAGATCTATTTTGTATTTTAATGTACTTTATTAGATGATTTATTGTCGGATGTGTAAGATATTACACTTTGTATTTTTACATTAAAAAAAAAAATCTCACCAGCAATAAGATGCATCTTTTGCCCATTTTTGACCTATCAATAAATAATTAAAAAAAAGGGAAAACAATAAATTAGTATAGGGGTTAAATTTTTTTCCCAAAATAATCGTAAAATTTATATTTTTTAATTATTAGAATCATAATTTTTTTCATAATTTTTTTCAAAAAATACGTCAGATTTGTAATTTTTCCATAAAAAAAATACAAAAACATATGTAAATTTTATTATATATATATATATATATAGAGAGAGAGAGAGAGAGAGAGAGAGTTTGCAGTTAAGAAGAGAATAAATGATGATAAACCCCAAGAATGAATCACGGTCGCATCGCATGATACTTGTAAAAGTGTTATACGTTACTACAACGCATGTATTCCACATGGTGTATGATCCACGGTTCTTATTTCTTTTCGTTTTTGTTTTTTAACTTTTTGAGTAACTTTTTGACTTTTTTAGAAGTACCCAAACTTGGCCTTAGTCTTCCCGAACTAGGCCTTAATCATCTTTTCAAAATAGACCTATATCATTCTGGTCAAATAATAATAATTTTTTTTTTTGGGTCTCAATATTTTCTAAATAAACTTTGATTAATATTCTATCCTGGAAAATAGTGTGGATTCACGTGCGTTGTAAAAGGATGCACTAGGAGCTGGTCAAGCAAGGTGCAACTGGTTAAAGCATAAACTAATCGAGAAAATAGTATATAGAAACCCGGAAAGGTTTTACTTGGCCCGGCAGGGTCGGTGTGCTCCGAAACCCGAGAGTCTAACATGGGATTTAGCGTGCAAAATAAAACTACAAAAAAAAAAAGAAGTGGGATTTGGATCCGATTCGTTTTTAGGGCAATGCATCCGTTAAAAAATCTGGATCCTTTCCTTCAATTGTAAAATTTATTGAATTATGTAATGAATTTACATTTTTATGAGATTAATTTTTATGACACAAGTAAAGTGAATGTCAAAAATTTTCCGATCCGATTATATTTGTTTCAATTCGATTTTAATAAAAAAAAATGGAAAAATATTGATAAGGTGGGATAAATTATAAGAATATCTAAATAAAAACTGTCAAGATTAAAATAAAATATGAAATTGTATCATTAAAAAAAACAAGTTTAAAATTAAGAATTCACATGCAAAATTAAAAAAATCTGGCCGGTTGTCATTCCTATAAATGATGGATATAATGATCAAAGATACATGATTTAAAATTATAATTCATTCTTAAAAATACTTAAAATTCTAAGCGATAGAAATTTTAACTATGAAATAAACTTATTCCAATTTTGGAAAGTGGATTTTTTTAGTTTATTGGCTTATTATAAAAAAATGTGTAAAAAAATAGAGAGGTAATATGAGCCAAATAAATCAATAAACTAATAAGTTAGCTTCTATTTTTCTTTTCTTTCTTTTTTTTTTTTTGCCTTCTCAAAGGAGTTTTAATTTACGAGAGATTTACGTATAGATCCTAATAGGTGAATTTATTTTCTAATAGTTTCTATGATAATTAATGACATTTTTTTTTATCATACACTATCAAAAGACGACACTAATTATTAACTTTCAACAAAAATTTGAAAATTGTCACAAAAAATGTTACTAATGATAAGTTTTAACGACAGTTTAAAAAAATCGCCGCAAAAAAGTCATTAATTTTTAACTTTCAGCAACACTTTTAAAAATTCGTCACGAAAAAATATCACTAATTGTAAGTTTTAGTGACAATTTATAAAAATCATGACAAAAGAAAGTCACTAATTATCAATTTTTAGCAACATATGCAAAAAATTGTCACAAAAAATTAGTTTTAGCGACGAATTTACTAAGACTTATTTTCAATAGGATTTGATGTGAATTAAATTCAACTATTAGGACCTATTAGTAGTTTACCCTTAATTTATTATGACTATAGGGAAATTCTATTATACACACTCCTTAAAAAGGGTGTACCATATGCACCCCAAATTATTTCATTTAAAAAAAAAAAAAATTATGATTCATAAGAGCATCTCCATCAAAATAGTCAAATTTTTAGTTAAATTTTATCTAAAAGTCTATTTTTCTATTTGAGTTAACCATCTTTTTAAATACATTCTTCAACAAAACTCTCTGTTTTATACTCTATTATATTTTTATCTTATTTTATTTTCAATTCCAAATTTAATATTTAAGAGAGAATTAAAATAATGAATGATCACATTTGTTTAGGGTAAATAAAATTTGAAGAAAATACAATAAATTTTACAAGTTTGCATAATTATATTAGACTCCTTTACGGTTTTAATTTATGGAACACTTAACCCATTTTTCTTCATAATTTATTAGTCTTAAGGATAAAAAAAAGTGATTATTGTCATCTTTTTTACATTAAATTATATATTTTATTTTGTTTATATTTGAGTTTTAAAACTACCTACATTTGAAGTTGATTTAATTATCTCAAAACGTATGATTCGTTGTATCCAAAATTAAGGAAAGTTAATATAATTTATCCGAAAAAAATTATATTGAATTTACATACAAAATGATGTGACACTTTATACTCCGTTCATCTCAATTTAAAATAACTATTATTCTAACTTATATTTTAAAAAATAACATAATTATATCATTTTGATTCAATTTTTTTTTATAAAATTTTTGTTAATAAGTATTTTTTCTTAATTTATTAAATTATGTTTTTTTTATCTTATGTATTACAATTGCATTAATTTAATAATTTCACCACTCATGTTTATTATTAATATATTAATAATTGATTAAATGATAAATAAAATATATTAAATATTTTATTATCTAAAATATTTGTTGAGTCATGTTTTTCTAAACAGATGTAACTAGTGGTTTGATATTCAGCTAAAGTAACTAGTCAATAATTGAATTTGGTGAAGTGTGTTTTTGTAATTTTGTACTATAAAATAACTAAGGGAATGTTATGTTCTAATGAGCTTAATAATAATACTTTAAGATTTTTAATTATATCTCATATGATATTTAGTTATGATTTTTTTATCTTTTAAATTATAACTCAAAAAACATGGAGTCATACTATCTGTTTAATTATAAAATATATATGGTATATATATATATATTTTTAATTATAAAATAATACATAATTTTGGTAGGTAAATGAGAAAGAGAGAAATAAGGAAAAAAATGGTGGGGGAAAGGGCAATCTAGTGTGAGAGGGCAAAACAGACTTTGACGGAGAGAAAGAAAGGAAGAAGCAAACAAAAAAAAAAACAGAAACTGTAGTAGTATTAGAAGTCTAGTTCAAAGCTGGCGTAAGAGTTAGTAAATTCCGCCGAGTCCCAACAAATTCCAACCATGTTTTTGTACATAAATGGCTGAATGATGAATGCATGATGAATGAGGTTGGGTCTTGGCCTCTATCGTTCCTTCCTTCCAAAAACTCTAGTTATCTCTATCTCTCTCTCTCTCTCTCTCTCTCTCTCTCTGGATGGATGGATGAAAATAAAATACGGCCATACCACCGGCATAGAGGTTCCGACCTGCCCCCACTTCCAATCTAACCAATAGTTAAATGCTCACTCAACTTTTTCAAAATAATAATAATAATAATAATAATAATAATAAATATTTATCAATAAATCTCATTTCATAAACAAGTAATTTAATTAGTTCAAATTTTTTTTATTGATCTGTTAAGTTCTATTACTGGAGAATTTTTTTTGTGTGGTCCTATTTTTGATTTTGATATTTTTTTGATGGACAAGTATACCCTTTTATTAATATGACATGTATGATGTGATACTCTAATGTGACAGGTATTAATGTAACACTCCAACAATGCGACACTCTAAAAAACTTAAAAATTCCTTAATGTACTTTTCGTAAACGTAACAATATGACGAGAATGATGTGATACTCAAAAATTTTTACTCAAAAAAAAAAAAGTTAAAAACTCCTTAGTATGTTTTTTTCAAATATGACAACGTA